CTCACGCAATAAACAGTACTATTATACACACAGTTATAAAGTACATGAATATCAAAACATGAATTGGAAAGAGTAACTGTAAAAGTAATCTTCGAAAACTCTTCTATTCTATTTGTGGTACTGAAGGATGACAGTATGCTAGAAGACCCGTAATACGGGAATTAAAATGTTCATAATATATGCCCCGCGACCCGAAAGGAGAAACGGCGATGGAAGATGAAGATGAAGATAATTTATGCCCACGGATCCAAATATGTCCGTCAATGTTCGAACTTTCGTTTGTCTTTGTCTGGTAAAGCGACGCTATTTTGCTTCCATGCACTACAACTTAGAAACATTCCTTTAGACTACTGGAAGCGAAGGACAGAGAAACTACGACGTGGACATTCGGGGAAGTGACAGGAGATTAAAAATTCTTTTGTCAGGGATGAAAATATCAATTTTAACTAATACCCAATGGCTGTTCAAGACGCCAATGTAGTGTTACACAGCACTACTATTTCCAGTGACCGAATCTTCAAACGGCAAAAAACGTAGAGCTTCAGAAAATATACTGATCAGATGGTTCAGCAAGAAATTTTTATTATGTAATATACAATCTGCTGGTCGACATTTCTCATCAGCTCGCACGCTCTTCCTACCTCTTTACTGAAGATGCCGTAAACAGAAACGTGGAGGTACAATTTAACTATGAAGTTTGCTTTTACAGGAAAAAATAATGATACCGTAATGAAACGGCGAAAATGCTGTGTAAAGAAAGAAAATTCAATTTTTCACTTTACGCCATCAGCAGAATTGCACGGCCCCTTTGCTTCCAGACGCCTAAAGATTGTTATTAAAATGAAACATTACAAAGTATAAAATATTGAACGACATGTTTAACATATCTAATATGAAAAACAAGATTTTCCATCATTTTTTCCTTTACATTAAGTATATTAACTATATCTGAACTGCGCAACAATCACTAACATATTACAATGCTAAGAATAACTGCATAAAATAAGCAAGTCAAACTGAAATGTGAAAATCGTACCGTATGTAATTCTCCCAACACCCGAATAATTTCCTGATGGGCGGCGCTGCCTATTTCACGACACTGAAAACCAATAAAATACAAAATTAGCAATAGCAGCAGTAAAACGTTAGCACAAGAACATAATTAGGGTAGATATTAACGTTAGCCAAGCTGCGATTCAAGTCATGGTGCGTGAGAATTCGCTGAACGCAATGTACGAGGGATAGCAAATCAGAACAGAACTGCTTTTCACAATGGTGGCCGCGAATGCTGATGCTGAAACGTGAAACGGTCAGCTGCAGAATCAGCTGTACATTCTGTACGTATATCCACATATCTGTAGATAAATCCTTAGAGAACACAAAGTTGTGCGACGCTGTAAACTAATCAAACAGGCCTTCTTGAATGGAACAGTGGATTTTCTGTAAATTACTGTACGGAGGGGCAGCGAATGCATCAATATTTTGATTTTGTATCAGTTCGTAGGGAAAGACACATTTGGCAGGGAGGCATTCACTGATGACTGATATCAACTGGGATCTTTCCATTCGATTGCAGCGGATCAAAGAAACGATTATCTGTCTTGCCAATATCTCGAAGAGTATTCGACTGATAAACGACAAAACACGAAACGACAGGCGCATTCGTTTAATGTTAATTACACCCACGGACAAGCCTGGAGTGAACGCAGACAAAATGCATGTTTAGACAAAATCTTTGCACTACTCTTATTGTTACACGGCAACATATTTAGTAGTACGTATTTTTAATTTTTATTGAAACAACCGTTATGTCACCTGATCATTTTAAGTTTGAAGAGACCATGATGCCAAGGTACTGAATCTTGCGGGTTGTCGACAGAGTTTGTTGTTTGAGGAACTATTAAGTTCGTAGTGTACCATATCAAAAATAGAGAATTTTGCTGATATGAACTGGCTGGTTTAAGATGACACAAATCATTCGTAAGATGTTCGATGATATGTCTTTTCACAGGCTTCCACGTTCTACATCGTTCTAATCAGTGGAACAGTTAATATCAGCATAATTTACACGGATAATCAGATATCAGTGTGACACGAAGTGCTGTACAGACTAAACAGCAGCGGAGATAGGACTGAACCCAGAATAATGCCAAGGTTACTGCTGTTACAAGATAAACAATTGTTACCAACTGTGACATACTGCCAGCGTCACGAAATATACTCGTTTAAACCATTGTAGGGTTATGATATTTGTAGAAAGTAGTGCAAGCGCCTCCAGCAGCTTCTTGCGACGGATAATTATTAAATATTGAAGAGAAATCGAGAAATATCGTATGCATCACGCACGTACTTTTGCCTTTGCTGCTGCCTACTATACTCTCGATAATGGCACACTGAGTCAGTCCTAACTCTTATGGACTTTCAAGAAAGCCAAGTCATTATTTGGTTTCTGATGGATCGGAACACCAACTGCTTCAGAACGATCAGTGATACAGATCATATCGGTAAAAATCAGATAATGCTGAATTAGTCACTTTCTGCAAGATGTCACCTTACCAGAGCAGGAGAGTTGTGGAACTGTGGTGTTTGACATGGATTTGTTGAAAAGAATGGAACAGACTTTCCAGAAGTTCAGCGGCACGTTTGAAATTTGATCCTGACCGGCAAAAACATTCTGCCCGTCAAGCTGAGTGACTGAAGGGCACATCTTTCGCAGAAAATTTTTCTTTCTCACACAGACTCTAAAAGGAAACTGGCAGTCATGCTCAAAATGATTTGCTATTCGTCAAATCTAAGAAAATGCCGATTTAATGCTTTGACGTTGTTCGGGTCTAATTTTCGGCGATTAAACCTCGAAACGGTTAACTCCGGCACCTTTTCACATTTCTGGCGGGGAAGCGTACCCTTTGAGATATTACCTAACAATCAGAAGTGGAAAATCTTGAGAAATGCATTAATAATTTGACTTTGCTTCAGTTTCCTTGCTTCCTTGAAATTAAACCGCGGTAACTTTCCCTAAAATCTTCGACAGGCCATCCGATGCTATGGACAAAACTTTAGTAGTCGATAAGTACTTCTGCGTGTAAGCCGATGTAAGTAGTCGATCAGTTCTTCTCAGCTAGTCGCTAAGAAAACGTACCGAATGTGACACATGGATGTTTTGCGTGAGTTAAAACTTTTCGCTTCCGAAATTCTGCTTTTCTTCCAAGGAACTGAATTATGAAATAACGTGATCATCGAATGGTCACAGCTGAAAACCGTTTCAGAATTTGGATCGTTTCAACATTTTACAAAATTAAAAATACGCGCAAACAGCTGCTGACTGACATGACCAAGAAACGATCCAACGTGATTCTCCGATCTGAAACCAATTCTGAGTCTACATCAACCTGTGGTCAAGTAGAAATAACTGCAAAGAATGCAAACCCGTCTTTAAACAAATTCACTACACTTCAGTAAAGTAAAAACAACATGAGAAAGAAAGACATTTAACATGAGAAATCTTGAATCCGCATTAGCATAGTAAAAGCATTCTAAATTTTAAAACTGACTTCAAAATCAAGAGTCGCAGAAATATGCAAATTTCAACAAGAAAGAGACCCGGTGTACGTGAACATTTCATTTTGTTTCCTCCAGTTGCATAGTAAACAGATGACGAGCACTAAATCACTTACTTGAAACAGAGAATTCAAAAATTACGATGAAGTACAGTTTGACAAAATACCATATGGTGATATCAAAAACATTCAGAATTGCATTCCCTGGCTTCGGATCACCACTGACAAATCAAAAGCGATTAACACGGCTACACAACTCCCCTCCCCACCCCTAAACTTGGTAGAATTTGGTACTTTACCAGGGTGCACAACAAAGAGCGTATGAAGCGAATGGTTAGATGACAAAATCAACCAACTTTCGTTGCAATAAATCTTAATACTGTATATCCAAAAGCAGGATGAACCTCGGCTACGATTGCAGATGTCGCTGGCGAAGAAGGTAGTGCAAAATTTGATGCACTTCATTAGAATTAGGAATGCAGTTCTTTCACTGTTCTCAGTGAATTCAGTAAATAAATACACACAACGAACAAGAGATGACTAGGCGATAAAAGTCGATTCTCCTAGCGTAATCTAAACAGCGAGGGAAAAATTACACACCGTATTACTGGCTTTCTGTGCGGTTGGGCTCCTGTCGCCCGAATAAATAATGCCGCTCCACAGATCAGCTTACTTTACAAACAA